TTATAATTATTTGAATTAACATATCAAAAATTTAGCAAGGTGATCGTATAGATTATTTAGGTTTCGTTTTATTGTTGAGAAAATTAAAAAAGCGAACACAAATAGGGAATTCGAAATAAATATGAAAATGAATATTGGATAACAATGATTTTAGGAAAATCTGCCAACATTAAGGCAAATATAAGTAAAATTTCTGAAAAAAATGCTGACGACAAACATAGATTAGTTTTCGATTGGATATAGATTTTACTAAAATCAATATGTTTCATACGAATTTTGGAATGACACTTTAGATGGCTCTTGAGTTCAACTACGATCATAAAAATTACTAAATTTAAGGTCATTATTTTTTTTTTTGATACTTTTATTACCAAATACAAATAACTACCATTGATATCATATAAATTTCTTTATTGTTTCAAAAATCGAGCTTACATGATCTTCGAACCGTATTTCATTGTATTGATTGCTAAAGACATGATTTATACATCAAAAAATACAAAAAAACATGCTTGGTTGGGTTGCATGGACTAGGAAAAACGCTAATTGAGATATAGTTTTTATGTAATCAACGGACAATAAATCGTGAAAAGTATCGAAAACATAAATATGAAAAACGATACTCGGTAATTTGAGCATATACTTTTCATATGAAAGTATACGAGATAGATGACTTTTCAGATTGTTTATACAGTTGTGGTCTAGTTTTTCTTTTACCGTTTTTTTCTGTCTACAAAATGTATACTATTCAATAAAAATATTTTTTATATGATAATGATTAAGAGGAAAAGAGAAAAAGTTATACAAAGATATTAGATTTATTCGATGTTTTTTTTTGGTCAAGTTTTTTCTTTATTGATTTTTGATTGAAGAATTTTACTGTACAAGAACATGTTCAATTGATTTATTCATATAATTCATAAACTATTGATGGTAAAATGAAACGATATGTAATGATAAAGGTTTTAAGAATTATTTATTCATATGTAGAATAATTTTCTTTCATTCATCTTGGAAATTATTGATTGTGAACTTTTTAAATATATCGAAGATTTAGTGTGAGGATGTATGCTCAGAGAAGAAACATCCACACCCTCAAGATGGTATACAACCAATGTTAAGGTTAGGATCGACTACAAATTTCCTCAACATTCAGTTACTAAAGAAAATATCAATACTGGCGGTAGCGAGAACAAGCAAAAAGATGGTGAAGGGCAAACACAGCCTAGTGAACATAAAAGAGGCGAAAGTTTGAAAATTTTTGTTTGTCAATTTATAATAAAATTTATTTGATTTAATGTTAATTTTTCATATGATCCTTTTTCTAATTTTTCTCATCGTTTTCTGGTAGAAGTATACTCGGACGATGATAATCCCATCATATCATACTTTCTGAAACCTGGAGATTGTGTTGAAAGTATATATGCAGCTGTTCAATATCAACATTTACGCCAAGCTGCAAGATCAGATCGTGACTACACAAACAATGTAATTAAGATTTGTCAGATCTTTAAATGGTTACCGTAAAGGACAAGATGAAGTTGGTCATGTTATTGACAATGCACTCTAATAACAAATGGATTGGCATACATTTTATAATGACAATCAAAATTTGAAATTGAAAATTAATGAAGTTTCAAATGATAGCAGTTCTATATGGACCATAAATCAACCTAGTACAAACTTTGAATTTAACTGATGATCTGATCATTTAGACGGGCACATGTGACCTTTTTTGTGTCCAGTGAACTTGAAACTTTATTAAACTGACTTTAAATTTATCTCTTTGTTATTGCAGATTGTTTCGTATGCTGCTTGTTAGAATATTGCTCTGCCTATACCCTTTTGTTTCTTTGATGTTTGATGCTTCAAATTAAGTTGCATATAGTTCGGAATGATGTTGTCTATCTAGAATGATAGATGGATGGAAAAATAGGTTAATACTTATGTGTTTTTATTGTTTAAGATGATATAGTGGTAACCTCATTTGTGGCAAAAAAGTTATATTGGGCTTTTACAAGAGAAAAGATTACAAGTTTTTTATGTATGAAGATTGTTTCGAGAGTTCGATCGGTAGAGCGTACTAGTGTTCCATGTAAGTTGAGTTATTGAACCAATAGAGTGTCATTGTGAGTAGGCAAAGATCAGATCTAATACTCACACCTACGCCCCATGAATCGATTTAAGTTCTCAAAACTAATAAAATAGTCAAAATTTCTTTATTCAGTACTCTTATAAATGTAACGAAATCTGTACCAGATAGAATTGCTTTGGTCAACTATCGATAATAGAAAAACTCTAAAAAAGACATGCTTTTATAATATTTTATTCAATAAAAAGTAAATATAGAATATCAAATGTGAAGAGACTAAACAATCTGATCTATTCAACCAATATAACATCATTGTTCAAGAAATCTTTAACAAATGCCAAAAGACTTAAATATTTAGCATCATAATGAATAGTATCATTTCGATATGGATCATCCTCGAATTCATGATCGATAAATACAAATTTAATTTGTACGCCTTCAATATCTCGGAAGTTTCGTTTTTTATCATCGAGAAAAACTATCGGATGGAATTGTTCAATAGCTTGTTTCTTTGGATTATTGTCTAAACTTTCTTTGTCGTCTTTGGTGCTAATGATTCGATCAATAGGAAATCCATGTAATCGAAAAATTTCCAAACGATATTCAATAAAACAAGCACGCAATGTTGTGACACATACTTAGTCATAACTAGCTGCATGCAATAAATGACAAGCTTCAAGAGCTCGATCATGCATAGACATTGTTCGCCATCCATCAACATCCCACGCTGCGTTGAATTGAGATTTTTCTTCGGGCGTAGATGCGACGCCATATCTAATCGTAGCCTATAGGGAGAAAGAAAATGACGGAAATCATTTTTTTCATTTGATTGCAAATAAGTCTTCGATACGCTGAAAGAATGATTCATATGTTACTCACACGATATGATTTTGGTGAGACAAGAGTCAATTGTTTTCCAAAAGGTTTTTTTGTAGATGTATGGAAGCGTTGTTCGATAATCGAGAAGTACGCCATCACAGTCAAGTGCAATGATTGACTTCTTGTTGCTAATAGAGAGTAATGGCGAATTAGTCATTGCATTGGTTTGCTTTTTTCTTTTTGTCTGTAGTGAAATCGGAGAAACGAAAGGACTGAAATGTTCGAAAGAATCTTTGCATGATGGTATGTGAGAATAAGATCAATATCGATCTTGACGTCATATGACATTCAGCATTAATGAAAGTGAAAATCGAATATGTCCGATCACTAGGACACAATTTCTTCCTTTGCTGTTTTTTTTTCGTGAAATCATTATTGAACCATGTATGACTGTAATGGAAGCGGTACAATTTCGATGAAAAAGATTTTAGCTTTGAAACTTTGAGCAAACAATGACCACTGACATGTTTTTTCGCCATCAATCTCTTGCATCCTATTGAGTGTGAGTGTTGACGATGATGGTACATCCACACCGACACACAACATTTCGAGACAAGCTTTTAAGAATTGACATATTCGAAAGACTACATTTTTTTCATTCAAATTTCTAGTGTTTTTATATGACCACGAGAAGTACAACTAGACAGAACAGAATTTCAGATTCAAATTCGTTTGGGATACGGTGGTTTATATAAACCAAGATGATGATTGTGCATCATCGTCTTATTGAAAAAGCAACTATGATGATTTACAAACATGAAGGTATTGCTTAATATGTATCCTTCAAAGTATAATGTGATGTCTTATATAGATTCAGGTTTGGTCTTGACCATAATTATTTGCAATTTCTTAATGAAAAGAAATAGAAGTAAATCCACAGATAAGGTTCTAGAGTTAGCTATAGTTGACAATCATACAATGAAGAAAGTAGCTGAAAATTTGAATCTCTGCACACATTCTGAAAAAAATTAATATTCAGAAATACTGGATCCAACTTTGATTGATTCTAAGGTATTTTCATCATTGTCCATATACTTCAAGTAGCGCTTTAGAAACGGTCTACATAAAAGACTATCTTGTCGGATCGGATAGTATACGAAGTCGAGCACTAGCTCTTGGATCTAAACTTTGAACTGAAATGTGGGTTTGCTGAATATAACTTGTATAAAGTATCGTCAAATTACAGCACGTCCTAATGATTTTTTCATTTTTTTAAAATGACCTTCTAATATGAGCTTCTCCAGATCGTATGAATATATTTTGACAACATCGATAGAATGCCTTATGATTTTGGGATGACCTGTACATTGTTTAAGCTTTGCTTCCTTTGTCTGTCTATATGATCTGATTGTCTCGTATGTGGTCGCACAAATACATGATCGTAATACTCAGCGACATCAATGTTGTAATACGGTCATAAATTGTAAAACAGGGTTTTAGACAAACGTATACAGAATCTATATCGTTCATCCTAGAAATATGTCACATCATTACTTGATTTAAATGACATCAGACATATCCAAATACATATAGAATAGTGCAAAAAAACAAAAAAATATTTCTCAGTTGGCGAGGGAACCGCTGAATCTTGCGGAGCTCCGCCACCGCTCCGTTCATCTCTGATCCAAGTCACACCCATATCGTTGAAACTTCGTCAAAAGTTTCTTATTTCTTCCATAAATAATGCATTATTCATACACTAGCATATAAAGAGTAATTCATTCGTTATGCTTATAGATTTTTTTGTTTCTTTCGTTTACTGTCAGCAAAATGAATAATCCTTATAAGTGCCATAGGACTCTAACAAACAATAATCTCGATTGATGGATATTATTTGCAAAAGGTACCTATTCAAATATACAATTTAAGACTTATTCATTCATACATTTATGTATATACTTCATATTATTTATCAGAAGAAAGCAAATAATGTAGGACTAAAGAGTCGAGAGAAATCTCTTACTTCTGAAAATATATATATACACACTCTTATTCAGTTGAGAAGTGTATCGAACTAAGACATACTAAAATGCGACTTTGGTTTATTCTCATTCTCATCATCAGTTTTGCTAACTCCAAGTAAATTATTACATCGAATTTATCTAAAAAAAAAATATGTTTTTTTTCTTGTTAATTTTATTTTTAGTTGGGCAGGATTTTTCAGTCGTAAAGAAAATGAGGCTTGTATACCAATCGTCGATGATTGTAAGTCTGGTTTGAAGTGTCGTCTGTCAGCATCTTGCACGATTTTCAGTAGTGCGAAGAAAGTGATGTGCTGTCGACCTCCACGAATATTTATAAAATGAGCTGATGGAATGATTAATACTTGAGCAAAATTAGACTTCATTACAAAAAACTGATTTTCGTATTTATCATTGTCATGTATTCCGTTATTTTTATGTGAAGCGCGTTTTTTCTTATATTTGAAACTAAATTGTGCTTATGATTAAGTTTAGTGTAAATAATATTGCTTGTCTATTGATTGTCTTATCAAAGAAAGCTTCTTTTTCAAGTTGTGATCGGTTCTTCGAAATGAACAGTAAAAATTAACTAGAAAGCAGTGGCCAAAATTTCATTCAAGATATTGGAAAGATAACGAATCGTTATGAAGTTCGAAAACATGAAACAAGAAAGAAAGAGAGTAAAAGGAAAATGATGATAAAAACAATCTTTGTAAAACATTAGTGAATTTTGTTGTAATGATTTTTTGTTTCATGTGGCACTGTGGTTTATTCACTGGCTTTTTTCTTCGATCAAATTAGATGTTGTAACTGATTCGTTTTGTTCTCTTAAAATGAAATAGACATGCTATCAGCAAAAATATTTTTATTAGTTTGAAAATGACTATGTTTTTGTTGATGAGAATTATCATTTGTATTTATTTCACTGATATTCACCGAAAAACATGAGTTTATTTAATTAGTGGACTCATTCAGTAAAATTTTTTCTTGGCATTTTCAATCAAACCGATTCCAAGTTTATTTTTTTTACTTTTTTGCTATATACAGTAATTTATAGTGTCAAAGAAATTTTCTTCGAAACAATTTAATTTTCAGATTTAGATTTTCTTTATCAAAAAAATGGTGCACGTCAGATTTAAACTAACATTGGCAAGGATCACGGAAAGGTCTACTGATGGTTAAAAGAAATCCGTCAATATCGGTGTGTGAGTGTGGGTGCTGATGCGGCTTTGAGAGATTGTACGGAACGACATCCCGCATCCGCGCTGCAAAGAAAACCCAGAGAATAATAAACCTCAAAATGTTTTTGTCCATGTAAAAAATTTAAGCGAAAAAGCTAGCTTAAAGTAGCTTAAATTTTAGCTTAAAAAGCGGGTGTAAGCGCACATTTTAAGCTACCTAAAAGTGCTTCTAAGCACTGAATTTCAACCAGCAATGATTTATAGATTATTGACTTCAATTGCTTTCATACAGTATTCATACGTAGAGTACCGTTATAATAGCATAACTGCCGAAAAAATCCGATTCTTTTTCGTGTTTATGTGATATAATGTCTCTTACCGAGTTTCTTCAAAGTGTGCAGTTTCAAAAAAAAAATCATATTTTTGAACTTTGATTTCTAACTTTGCAAATATGAAAGGCTTAATTAGATTATTTCATACAGAAAGTTTCATCATTTTGACGATCACAAAATCAAGATATGTATTTATCTAAACATCTACTCTTTAATATTTTGTGAAGCAGCTATTTTAAGCAACTCATATTCCGGCATTGCAAACTTCAAGCTGCTGATACTTTGTATATGAGATAATCTAATTGGATCCTTTATGTTTACAAAGTTGCAAATCAAGCTTGAAAAATATGTTTTTCCTAAACTGCTCATCTAGAAAGAATTCTGTAATAAGTATGATATCAAATAGACACAGACAAGAACCGGAGTCTTTCGGCAGTTATACTATTCTAATGGAACTGTACGCATGAACCAAGTATGACAGCAATTGGAGTGAATAGTTCTTAATGGTTTTAACTTACTCAACTATTTTTAGTATAAAAGCATGTATCAGATAAAATAACATGTTTTGTACTCATAATATGCATACCGTATATACGTATATACTCGCTCTATTCTGTCGATAGCATAGCAGGTAAGAAGATAGTGCTGAAAAAAGTTTAGTTTTAGAAATTTCTTTGTTCGGTGCACTGTGAATAGTTTAGAAAAAGTGTTGTGTACTACATCTATACATTTACGTTATCTGACACAGCTTTTCTATAGTAAAAATAGTGTAAAGGAATCTACATCGTCTAAAAAACGATGCATAAAATAAACTGAACAGTAAGAAGGAAATTAAAAATATTAATTCTATTTAATGATCTTCTGCTTCTAAAGACATGATATAAGTTTACATTTTTTAAAATAGAAGAACAAGTCACGTTTTTCGTATTGAATGTAACACTTATGACTAAAAAAAGCAACTAAGCTCAACTAAATGATACACTAAGCTGAAAAATTTCAAGTCACGTTAAATGGAAAACGAATCAATCTTTAAAAAACTAATTTGTTCGCTTACCTGTACATACATATAGTGGATCATAATGACCCACAGGTGTATCATTCTGTACTAGAAGTAAGATGCTCTAAGATGAATTCTGTTAAAATCATTGCACTTACATCATGAAGTTTAATTGTACAATACATCAGTACTAACTACCATCCATCGTTCTATATAAATATAGTAAGTAATCTGGTCATTAAAACAGTGATGATACTCCAGGTCGATCATTTCAACCGTCGGAAACTAGGATGTGAGTGTGGATGTAGGTGGCTGTGGCTGTGGAAAGAAATGTCAGTGTGAACAACCACCACACCCACGCCCACGCCCACGCCCACACCCACCCACACCCACACCCTCAAAAACACTTTTCTCGATTGATATTCGTATCGTGGTGAATGGAAGATCAATAAAAAAGTTCTCTTCCGTAAAGTATGCGTGATCGGACAGTAGAGTCGGATTCCAGAAAGAATTCAATTCTGCATTAGATGCTGATATTTACATTCACCAATAATATATCGACATATTAAAAGAAAATTTTTTCTTCTTATGAGATTTTTTATGACGGTAATGGCATAGATTCTTTTTTCTGTGATGACAAGAGACACGCATTTTCATGCATGTTCTCTGTAATAGTGTTTTTTTCCAACAACTTTTTTCATTGGTGCATTTTGTTACTAAAGTGATCCTGTCGCGAGTGTAGTATGTGTGTATCTGCAGCATACACTCTTTACTTCCTTCCAAAACTGTCTTCTCATTCTTTCAATGAAAGAAAAATAATAATATTTTTCAAGCCGATTTCTTTCAAAAATGAAATCATACTTGTTCTATTTCCTTACCATTGGAGTGTTGCTTTTTGTACACACTACAATGAAATGTGTTGCATGTGTATTATTTTGCGACACTATGTACGACACATCTAAGTAGGACAGGATATGCTCGTGCAACACATTTAGTCCAGCGACGATACGATATATTTTGAAACAGTGGTTTGCATCTATTATGCAACACATTTTTTGTTTGTTTTTTCTGTAAAAACAAATTATGATGTTTTTCTTCAATTTTCTCCATTTAATTTTTCGTACACTGAAAATTGAAGCAGGTTAGATCTTGAGATGTGTCCCGCCTCGAATTGGTCCGATCTGCATCAGATCGTTTCAGAGTAGCCCCCTCTCGATCATCGATTGAGATTGGCATGTTCTCGACTAATGAATAATCGAGAAATAGTCTAGAAAAAAAGTAATATGACAATATATAAGTTTCATATGTTCAGTGGAGTTCTCTTTGTAGAGCTGTTTGTGCAAAATGAAACGTTGAATGCATAGGCAGCAGAAAGAACGCGTCAAATTCATATACGACACATTCTCATTGCGACACATGTCATTTAAGTGTGTATAATGGGAACGTGGTGTTGCCATTGGACGATCATTTATAAAGCGCTTCCTTATTTGCACATTTTCATTGCCTTCATTGAGTTCTTATGTGGTATTATTCGAATTGTTCTCTTCTTTTCGCCTGTAACTCCAACAAGTTCATCTCAACAGTCTAGCAGCGGCCAAGTACTACCATCTCAATCGCAAAACTACACTTCAAAATATGTGGCTGCTTTTGTCATCGATTGGATTAGTTCGATTGTACCCACATTGACGGGTTTGTTTGTAACACTTCTGATTATCATCGTTATATTAAAAGCCCTTGTGGCTTTCGCCAATAGCAGCTCGAAGGAGCGGATCTGTGCGTCTGAAGAGATCAACACTACTGGATGTTTTCGAAAATTTTGGAACAATAAAGCTCTTCGGCGCATCATTGCATTAGATTGCAATTGTCCATGCTATAGAGCCCGACCAAAGCTCCGTTTTCAAGTACGCACGGGCTTTCTTATCATCATTCTTATACTTCGAATTGTGGCCATTGCCTTATATGTATCAAGCAACATTGATGCCAATCGTGCTCAGGGATTAGCTGGTTTGGCTGGATTCACACTGATTTTTCTTTTCTTCACCGTTTTTCTTGACTTGTATCATTACTGTGTCTGGTGGCACTATACTCCATATTTAGATACGACATGTTGCTGTTGTCGAGCATGGAAACACGCACGTTATCTACCTTATATTCTTGTCGGTGCATATCGTAATGAACATATTTGGGGAGATGAGTCTTGCCCCAATAATCCATGTCCAAATCGTGGATTAGAGCATATTGCTACTTTTCACTCCAGTGGATATCAACCACAGGCGCGTTGGACTGATCTTCCAAAGCCAGAACCTCCATCCGATCCTAAACAGAAACTGAAACCTCAACCAACTTATATTGGATTTCATACTACCAAAGCTGATTCAGCTGTCAAAATTGCGAAAGGTGGCTTCTTGCCCAGCTCACAGGGTATGATAGGTCCCGGTGTATATTTTGCACGGTCATTGGAAGCGACCATCGGCAAAGTGGGTGCAGCAGGTGGTTTTTGGTGCATGGATTATAGCCGAAGTAAACATGGGCAAGGTACTTGTCGTTCACCGACACTCCAGAGATCAAGATATAGCCAGAACTGGTGAATGGCACGCTGAATATGACACATGTTATTGTATTCATCCAGACGACAACTTAGATGAATTCTGCATTGAAGACCCGACAACACAAATCGTCAGATGGGTCACTGTCATTGAAGAAAATGATGATCCAAAAGTGAAACAACTCGGACTCGATAATGAGTTCGAGTCTACAAAATGTGGCTGTTTCTAATAGATGGTTTTTGTGGAACTTACATATATTTTTGAAGAAAATAGTGAGCATGACTTTCAGGACGAATTTTTGCGATTCGAGTGCGGGTGTGGGTGCGGATGGATGTGGTGCGAGTGCGGGTGTGGGTACGAGATTCATTGGAATGCATACTCACATGCATACGCATACCCACACCCATAAGAAAACATCTTGATTGCAGTAAATATGTGTCCAAATTGAGCAGTTATGTGTTGTCAATCCTGTTTAGATTCTCTAATGTTAGAGTCGAACCAAAGTAGAACAAATTTCTGAATAAATCGAGTTTTTAATAGTAGTATGTAGCGAGTCTCTTTTATATATACGTCAGTGGAAGTACATAGCTTTTCATTTACGGTGGTATTCTTGGAAAAATCCAGTTCTTGTTTCACTTTAGAATCGATTGTTTCTTTTACTCCATCCATCAATTATTGATATTTATGAACCGGTTATTTGAAGGATTCAAAGAAGTTCGGCTACTTCATATTTAAACGCTGGTGACTTATACCCTGTCAAATGAATAATGAGGAAAAGGTCATTAAAATGCATTGTTATCCATAACTAGACCATTTCAGTCATTAAAATGCATCTTTTAAAGCGAAAAATGGTAATGTGACCACCAAAATGTATATTGATTTGTTCATGAACCATTTTGATCATTTTATGATCACCAAATCTATTTTTCGAATTTTAATTTGATTTAAGTATGTATATAGTTACTAAAAATTACACGATTTACTAGTCTTTGCTTACTAGAGTTCATATTCTACACAAAAGTCAAGAATATAGTTCGAAACTCACGCAATAAGAGTCAATCGGATTTTGCGATTATGATGAAGATAAACTTAGAAGTAGTCAAAAACAAATAGTTTTTGCATGGCTTTAAAAATGAATCGACAATTCTCAAATAGAGGAGAATCGTACTGTTCACGATATGCAGCATATTTAAAAGTTTCTTCTTGAAAATCGAATGTCTTTAATTGAAAAAAGCGTAATCTTTTTTACATGCAGTATGTTTTATTTTTGTCCACTAAATACCAAAACGTAAGACAAAGCATTACAAATGTTTCGTGTGTTGCCAAGTTTTACATACATATGTAAACTTATTAAGTATTTGATTTGACATTTTCTTTATGGCTTTTGCATCATTCTAATTTTTCCTCTAACATTTATATTTTATTGAAAGAGAGACCCAGTAATATACATGACGAGCACTTGTACATGTATATGTAAAGTACTGTATGAGTATCTGTGTAAAGTGATCAAGTGACATATATGTCTATGTCCATTTGTTATTTTACAGAGAGAAATGAATTCCCAGCTGTTACATTAACGTTTCAACTAACTGCAGTTTTTTTGCATTAAGTTTTTCTCAAGTTTCATTCCACGATCTTTTAAAATGATGGCTTAAGAGTAAGGCATATCCTTTTAATGAACGAATAATCGAGATTTTTGGTCTTTTACACTTTTTCTACGAATGAGGTGCAACTTTCTTAGCTTTTATTCAGAATAAATTTTTATCTCGAGATATTGTATATTTATCATAATCTTCAGAATATTCATTTATTATTACGACTGCTTATACCCGAACGATCACTGGAATATTATTTTTTCTTTGCTTTCTGTTTTAATGTTCTGTTTTCTCTACATCTAAATTATCTAATTAGTTTATTCCAATTGGTCAATGATTGTCTTTATCTTCAAACAATGCCTAACATGAAAAGCATTTTTTAGCATTTTTTGTGACTGTTTTACATCATTATAATAATTACCATTTATAGGCATTTTAATGCCATTTTACGATTTTTATCCCTGCCTGGGTAGTGTCTTATATGTAGTTGTGACTGTGAAGGATACATGTCGATGAGATTTTGTTGTTTGCGTTAGATAAGAAGTCTAGTGTCATAGTCAATACAGTAAAAATAATTGAATAGTTTTCTGATGCGCACTGCAAGACTTCGTAAAAGAATTGTTCTTTTGGTACTATATTCTTTTTTTGATTCATTTAGCAATAGTTTCATATGAAATCAATCTTTAGAAAGATAGACTACAGTCTGCGGTGTTTGTTTCTTTGCGAAAAAGTAACCAATTTAAACCAATATCATTCAACTCCACGTATTGTTCTCTCGGTGATTCATTCTATGGCGTTATCTCCTTTTCTTTTTTTTTCTTTATACTGGAAGAATGGTTCTGATAAGAGCCACTTGTTACTGACTTACATCATCAATCGATTATTCGTGTGCTTTCGGTTTTGATAGGACTCATTGAAATTTTTGCTATTTCAAGAATAGTACAGTCACAAAAAGCAACGAAAAAGACCGATGGTACACATGAAACAAGTTAGAACATGATACCTCCAGATGTTTACCGATATTAAGCTCGAACATGTTGTCAGGCCCTCAAAGTGGGGAAAGGAGGGGTACATATGCCCTCACTGATTGAGAATTATTCATTGGCAATCAGCAAAAGCGATAGGACTCTGTGAAGTTTTTAAAGTATTCCTTTGAAATATTTTTTCGAAATATCTGTGCTTATGACAACTTTACTGTTGTCTTCTTTTTAAAGAACCCAATTGTTAAACAGTCATTACTGGCGTCGCGGCCTTCAACAGCAAAATTCCTGAGAGCTATTGCAACATTTTTCCTTTTCGAAAACCTCTAAATTGGATATATGTTCTCTTCTCGAGAAGCCAGATAAAGTCGATTTATTTAGAAAGGTTGTAAAAAGTTTTCGCTTTGAGGAAAATGGAGTGTTTGTGGGCGTGTATGCAGGCATGGGTATGAGCGTGAATATATGGGTTACTTTCTCTTCTCTAAAAACTTACCCACACCGACACCCTAATTCACTACATTATCATGAATTTCAGCATAATTTCTAATAATGCATTGTTTTACAAGGAATTGTTGATGAATCACGCATGATTCTCGATAATGCGTTGTAATCCATTGAAAACATTGAAACTAACAAATTAAAATTAATTATTTCAGATTTTTAATGAAATAATGGGTCGTTTTTCCATGATTTTTTTCATTAAAGGCTTCATGGGTATTTCTTGTTTACTTTCTGATGTCATGAAAACCCTGTATGACGATTGAAGTTTTTATTATGAGTAGATAAGAAAAAAAAACCAAAGAAAATACAAATCACGTATGTAATTGCAAAATATTTATATCTTAACTGTGACAATATAAAAATATGTGTGCTAATCGTCTCCAACTTTCATAATCGAATTTAAAAGAAATAGTAAAACAAATTTCAATATATGAATTATCACTTTAGAATTTGAAATTTTCCTTTGACAAATAAAAATGAGTGATTCCAATAATACAATGGTGACAAATGATCAATCATCTGAACAACCTGCAAATGTAGTTTCTAATGATAATATTTCAACGGTAATAAAATATTCATGGGATCCTTTACATTCTTCGGATTGGGATGAACAAATACCAAGCGCCCTTTGTTTAATAAGAATTCAACGGTACACATTTTATTTTTTAAATCAAATATTTAACATAATGGTTTTTTTTTTTGATTAGTGAAATTCAACGTATATTCAAAGATCCATTACCAGGAATATTTATTGTTTCTGATCCTGATAATATGACAAAAGTATAAAATATTTCTATTGATTTACGTAAAGGATCACTTGTTGTGTAGAATTCGTGTATGTTCTTTTTGAAGAAAATAGTGAGTGTAAGTTTTAAGTCGAAGTTTCTCAGCCTTATTCTCCTATGAGAGCTCTAAACAACTGCTAATAAATAATGGATATTTTTTGCAGCCGTAATTGCCATTGAATTCAATGTTTCTCATAAAACATAATAATTTAAGAAAAAGAATTATGAAAATGAGAAACAATGAGTAAATAGCAACCGTAAAGACAAAAACTAGGGTGTCCATAAGAAAAGAAAATTTCTTTTGGAACTGTAAAAAAAAATAGTCTTTGTTTTACAATCAATCATCTTGGGAAAAGAATCATCGTCTTCGACAGACTTTACACCGTATATTTTGCATTAGAATCATATATCCTAAAGAAGATACATGAGTTTCACATTTCAACCGCAGGAAGATTAAACTAAAAAGCTTTTCTTCTTGTTCTAGATCCATGCTCTTGTTGTTGGTCCGTCTGCTACACCATATGAAGGTGGATTCTTTTATTTTATAATACGTTGTCCACCTAATTAGTAAGTCTGAACAAGTTAACAATTGATACAAATCTTTATTTGTATTCTAGTCCGTTTGGAGTACCTCGCTGTCGTTTAATAACAACTGGCAATAATACGGTTCGTTTTAATCCAAATCTTTATCGAAATGGCAAAGTGTGTTTGTCGATTATTGAGTAGATTTTTTGATTTCTAATATATTTAATAGTTTGTATTAATTGATATATTTAAGTACTATGAAAGGACCATCATGGTCTCCAGCTCTTGGTATACCATCTCTACTTATATCAATTCAATCCTTAATGTCAGAAAACCCATACTATAATGAACCCGGTTTGAAACAGGTATAGAAAACAACGAAAAGTTTGTTTAATTTTCTCTTTAAAAAATAATCGTCTAAAAATAGGAACGTCGATTAGGTGATTCGAAAACTTATAAGGAAATCATACAACACGAAACATTACGTGTTGCTGTGTGCGAAATGCTTGAAAATTCAAATTCATGTCCACAAGAGTTACAGTAAATTTAAATCAATAGAAATTTATTTAGAAGAAAAACAATCTTATTTTCATTTTAGTGAAATAATGATAAAACAATTTTTTGAGTTTTACAATTATTATATTAATGTATGTAAA